CGGCTGTCTGCTCCCGACCAGCAGGTGGGCGATACCCGCTGTCCAGGGGACAGCCGGTACCATCAGGGACCATGCCAACAGGACAGATCCCTGTGCCTCCCCTCAGGTGGTGGTCCCCTCCCCTCCGAACATCAACAGACTCTGCTCAATGAAAGGGTTTTCACCTGTTAGCAGTAGCAAATGCCGATCCCAGGACTCGATCCCTAGTTTTCACCTTACCTGTGTACAGTATCTGTGTCGACCCCAGGAGTTGAACCCGTGACCTGTGTATTCGTAACAGTTGGTAGAGTGTCGTAGGGTCTATAGTTTGTAGGGGTTCGATCTGTAGATCTGTCGGGTAGAGGTCTTCGGAGTTCTGGAAGTCGTAGCTTCAGGACTTCTGAAAGGTCAAGGTCGTAGCTGCCACAGTCCTGAAAGGTCAAGGTCGTAGCTGCTACCGTCTCCGAAAGGCCAAGACTAAACCTTCCGGAAGGTCCTAGTATTGGCCTTTCGAGTTGCTCACGTTTTAGACAGAGGCAAGTGGGCAAGTGGTGGAGTCTAACCATGCTGAGTCAGCCGTCCCAGTCCCAGTCAGTCCTCGTCCACGGGACTGTGTGCACCATGGGCATGGGAAAGGGCCAGACCAACGAGCTACAGAAGTATAAATTGAGAGGCAGCGACCAGCCATGCATTCATTCCTGCGTAAGCCATGCCATGCGGAAGCGCTGCCACAGCGACTTGTGCGAGGTGGTCTGCAGTGAGCCCGAAGACGAAGTGGGCGAGAAGGAAGCTTAGCCATAGTGATAGGGTAGCAGCGGCCATAGCCGCCGAAGCTCCAACACCATCAGGCTTTCGAGAGTGCTGTGTGATGAAGGTGCCTCAACTCTCGAAAACTCGACTCTTGAAAAAGTCTGACAACTCTCGAAATTTTTTCGCATTTCGAGAGTGGTGTGGCGAGGCCCTGTATCTGGGCAGGAAGTGAGGAGCATGAAACAGGTCGTTTTCCTTTTTTGTTTCTTGTGTGAGGTCCTTGTTGCGCCCTGCCAGCCAGGCAGGGCGGATTCCAGGCGAGGCAGCTTCATTCAGTTCCAGACAAACACTGTAGCATCCTGTATAGGACTGCAATCACAGCATAAGGGTTGTTTTTTTTTTGTTTTTTTTTTTATCTGCTGTTCGTGGATAGACGAGGGCCCTGACTGAACTGCGCAGCCCGAGTTTCAACTGCAATTGAAACTCGGGCCCTGACTAAACTGCTAAATCGCAGTTTCAAATGCAATTACAAACTGCTTTCGTGACTGCGCCGTAGTTACCCCTTCTTTTTTTTTTGAGGCAAGTATGCCTGCGTCACATCTGTAGTTCAGAATGGGCCAAAAAAACACAGTTCGGCAGGTCCCTGTCCTTCCCAGTTCATTAAGGCAAAAAAAACATCAGGCTGCTCTCCCTACACATGGCAAGTTAGAAATGGGCAGTTTTCTCATTTTCAGGACCAGGGACCGGGGCAGCCCATTTCCGTTCGGATAAAGGGTCTGAGGACAGAGTAGCACCCACCGGCGGCCAAGTTCCACAAGCAGCATATAGTTTTCTCAACGCCCTCATCTGGACGTGTTTGTGGAGATGTGGGGTTGAGGAAACTCAACGTGATTTCTGCACTTCTGCACCCACACGTCCAGATTTGAGCGTCGAGAATGGTGGGACTTGGCACCCGGCCCTTTGGAGCTCGTGCAGAGAGCATGCAAATTCTGTTACAGGTGGGCTGCACGGGCGACCGCGCGGAAGGGAGAGAGAGAGACACACACACACACACACACACACAGAGAGAGAGAGAGAGAGAGAGAGTATGGTGTCCGTAGCTGCCATCCTCCGATGCCTCCCCCAACATAACGCACACCGTTGACCCTCGTTTTGCCTGTACCTGATGGGAAACATAGCGTCTATACATTCAATATCAGGGTCTACTGTACTCCCCCAACATAACGCAACTGAATAATGAATGCATACAACCTATGTTTCGGGTCCGGTACAGGCAAAATCGGGGTCGCCCTGCTACTCTCTCTCTCTCTCTCTCTCTCTCTCTCTCTCTCTCTCTCTCTCTCTCCACGTCCGGGTGGGACAAATTTGCACCCCTATACAGTCATGTTGGGGACCCTCATGTTGCCTGTACCCCACTGGAAAGATGGCATGTATAGGGGTACAGGCAACATGACCATGGTCAAACTGCTACTCTCTCTCTCTCTCTCTCTCTCTCTCTCTCTCTCTCTCTCTCTCTCTCTGTGTGTGTGTGTGTGTGTGTGTGGGTGGGTGTCCACGTCTTTGCGGGACAATTTCGGGCCCAGTTTTAGGGCCCGGTTTCAAATAAGCCCGCGCGTTCCAGCAGTAACAGAACCTGCACCCTCTCTACGTGGGCTCGACAGGGCCGTGCCAAGTCCCACCAACAGTGTTGAGTTTTGTCAACACCCGAATCTGGACGTGTTGGTGGAGACATGCAGAAATGGCATTCTTATTTCCTCAACCCCGCATCACAGAACCTGCACCCTCTCCACGTGGGCTTGACAGCATCTCCACAAACACGTCCAGATACGGGCGTTGAGGCCGCTGTGCTACTCTGTCCACAGGTCCTGGTGGTCTACAAAGGTCCCGGTTGGTAGGTCGACAAAGGTCCCGGTAGTTCCCTGTGTTGGACCCTCTTTTTCTGCTGTTTTTGCCTCTAACGAACGAGAGCCCTGGTACGGCTGCTACGTATAGTTTTTTTTGCCGTTTTGAACACCTCCGATGTTGAAGTTGCGACGTAGTGTTTTTCCTGCCTTTTCAAACTGAAAGTGTGACACTGGAGCAGTTTCCCTTTTTTTTTTTTTTTTTTTTTTAAGCCAAAAGGCCGAGAAAGGTATTCTTCATCCTTTCTGGACGAGGTCCTCCCGTGTGACCGCGCTGGGACCAAATGCCTCAAAAAACCCGAACCAAATGCCTCAAATTTTTGAGACTTTTGGTCCCTGTGTGAGTATGCCCTGAATCACTGACATCACCCGAAAAATGCAAAAAATGCTAGAAACCCAAAATGTAGGACTGCATGCTCCTGCAAGTAATGGCCAGATGCATCCATTACTATGAATAATACGAGATGCATCTGATCACTTTCCGGGGAAGATGCGCTCGTTCTTTTCTCTTCTCGTTTAGGGTCTGATCCCACCAGGGCCACCACTACACTACAGCCCAGTTACAGTATAGTTTTCGGATCCCACCACTTTCCGACTTCGTCGCGGCCGCCGAAATATTTTGCCATACTTTCGTTTGGGTGTGTCGTGGCACGTAGTTACTACAATTTCTTTTTTCTTTTTTTTTTTCTGTTTTTTCATTTATTTAAGAAGAAGAGTTTTATTTCCAAGAAAGAAAAGGGAGGCCGGGAAAACCTCCACATGACAACCCGGAGGTTACTACAATTTTTGTGTACACCGTGAGGGCATCTCTGCAGCGAAAAGGAGGGAGCATTTTTTTCTATTTTATTTTTTTCTCTTTCATCCGTTTGCAGCATTTCTATTGGCGAAAACGTCCGCCCTCTGCAACTGCCCACAAAGAACCGCCGCCGGTTCAGGAAAAGCACCGAAGAAGTCGCCCTGGTGGGATCCAATTTTTCTTTTTCGTCCCGCCACGGCCGGTGACATCTTTGTAGTGTTTTTTGGTGACTACAGTCGTAGTGTAGTGGTGGGATCAGACCCTTAGACAAGGGTGTGGCGAGGCCCTTATTTGGACCTTACTCATATACCTGTGCCAAATCCACCGGAAAGAACCAGACGGGCTATATGCCAGAGTCCTTCGGAACATGGAACGCAAAAAAACAAAATTAAAAAAAATGGAATGATACAGAGAAGATTCGCATGGCCCCTGCGACAGTAGGGCCTGGGTACTTTGAGAAATCTGAACCTATGAGTGTTGCTCCGCCACATGCATCCTCTGCGGTTTGTGGGTTCCGTCTTAGAACTTCGGTGAAGTGGACTCGATTTTCTGAGCTAGCGAAGTTGGACTTGTTATGTTTGCCGACCAGGAGGGTTTTGAACCGACATCCTTTTCTTGACGTTGTAGACTCGGTAAGACCTGGAAGGTTGTTGGTATCATATATAATATCGACTCCTATATAGTAGAGTTGTAGGCTAGATTTGAACTAGTTACCTAAGGACCTGGTCTGGATGTGGTGTGGTCTACCGCCTGTGGTGGAAGGCATGAACCTGGACGTGCATTTGGCTTCTGAGTCTTAGCTAGAAAATTCTAGACTTCTGACTATAGTACGTTTCACAAGATAAATACGCACGTCAAAGGTTACACGTTACCAAATGATCCCTGATGATGGCCGGTGTGGCGGCCGGCCGAAACGAGTAGGATCGCGCCACGGTAACCGTGACTTAGTCATCGCATTATTATTTTTCGACTAAGTTACGTTCGTTTTTTTTTTCGATTTATCTTGTGTCTCGCCATATCCTCCTTTCTTTCTTCCTTGTCTTTCTTCCTTCTCTCTCTCTCTCTCTCTCTCTCTCTCTCTCTCTCTCTCTCTCTCTCTCTCTCTCTCTCTCTCTCCTCTTCTTATTTTCTATTCTCTCCCTCAAGTGGCAAATTGAATCTCTATCGGTGTCTCACTGTCGTTGTACTGAGTTGTTATGCAACAACTTTAATCCACGAAGTAACCGGTGTAGAGGTAAAACTACGACTGTGTGGCTTCGGTTGGCGCGCCTCGACGTTTCGACGATGAACACCTGGCAAGATGGCTACGAATCAGCCTTTCTCCTCCAACGTCGTCCGAACATGTTTTAACTGCGGGCAACCGGGCCATTTCGCTCGGTTTTGCCCCCACCCTCCTCGGAATGGTCTCCCGCTTCCATCTAATCCTAACTCTGCTATAGTTCCGATACAGGCTCCCCTCCTAACTCTTCCGAGTACCAACTCTAGTAGTAACGGATCGTATAATCAGGGGTAGTACTCACGAGGTGGCGGATGGTATAATACTAATCAGCGGCTGAGCACTTTGGAGGTTACGGTATCGAAGTTGAATGCCAAGAGTGATGCTGAAGAAGAACGCGAAAGAGCTAAGAAGGAAGAAGATGAGCGAAAGGCGAGGGAGAAGGAAGAAGAGAGCCGGAGGGCAAAAGAAAAAAGCGAACGAGAAGAGTTTCAGAGGAAGTTAGGTGAAGAGATGAACACAAAAATTGACAGGATCTATGAGACGATGAATGTGAAGAAGAAGCAAGGCGAGCCAGATGAAACGGAGCGACTGAAGGCGGAAATTGAGAAGCTGCGGCTGATGATGATGAATCAGGGGACGGTCGTGGGACCCCCAGCTACAGTTGAAACCACTGTGAGGCGCCTGTCGGAAGAGGAGAGGTTGCGAAGAAGTAAGGAAGATGCCGACAAAAGGATAGCGTCCTTGGAAGAGGAAGTTTCTCTACTGCGACGACTGAATGACAACGCTACCAGGGAGGCTGAAGTTTGGAGACAAGAAGCTCATAGACCAGGCAACAAGGGGGGGAGTATCGCAATTGAAGAAACTCCTGCTACTCATTCGAGGATCAGGCCTCGGTGTACGCTTGTCAAAAGTCAAACCTCAGCTCGGATAACGATGGCAGAAGCGCACGCTAGAGAGGTGCAGGCGCTGAAGGAACTACGTGGCAAGGACCTCAATGACAAGAGGGTGGCGGAACAAGAAGTCGAAATGTTGAAGGAAAAGTTGGCACAACTGGAAATGGAGAGACAACAACAGCTGATCAACGGAACCAATCTAAAAAGCAAATTGGATGAGGCGGTTGGACTATCGGCAAGGGCAACTCCGGGAAGCAAACAAGGAACAGTGTCGGCAGCCAAAGCAACCAAGATAGTCGACAAGGATGGCTTCATTGCAGATTGCGGAAAACAATTGAAAGGCATGAAGAAGGAAGGGGTAATGGCTATATGTATGCAGGAAGGTGTGACCTACTCGACATTAGAGAAGACCAAAGAGGATATTGTCACACGCAGAGTGGCCAAGGCATTTGGCAAACAACAGGTGAGTGTTCCTACGGATGCTATTATCATTGAGGAGACCTCGGAAGATACTCGAACTAGTAGTGCTGATCTTGCGCAAGCCAACGGTGATGAGGAGGTGTCTTAGGGTTTGACTCGAGCGTAGCTTACCTATGGCAGCTGGCCAGAAGCTGTGCAACGAAATGATCTCTCTCCTGTGATCTGCTCCGTAGTAAGCTATTTAATCTGTTTTTTCGTTTAGTGGTTATCGTGCTTATCCTTCTTCATCAGATTCCGTGGGCTAATAAATATAGGGACTGTTTGTGGAAGCTTCTTTCCGATGATTTTAATTTTGAACAATGTAAAGGTCCCTTGGTGTATCTGCTGGTATCTCCACGGTGTCGTCACGTATATGTTGGATGTACCTCAAGAGATCTTTCGACTAGGTGGAATGAGCATGTATACAGGGCTACGAACACTGGGGTCATTGAGAAAGCCCGTAGGAATGAGAGACTGTATCGGTGGATGAGAAGATGCGGGGTTCACCGTTATGTTGCAATTCCAATTTGTACATGCTCTCCTGATGATCTGTTGGATTGTGAGAGGTTCTTTATTCGCTCAACATCTTCTTTTCTAAATGCTCAAGACAAACGACGAAGGTCAAAAAGGTGTCAAGGGTCAGAGAGAGAGATTAAGAGAGAAACGCAGAAGAGGTGTTGGATATGAGAAAAGTTTGGGGAAACAAGTCGCTTATTTATTTTCACTCTAGTATAGGGGTGGTATCGAATAGTCTTTACAAGATTTTGTCCCGCTGTGTGACTGAGGGCCGGACGAGTTGTTCGATTGTCTGTAAAGGAGGCGATCTGGTTTGTGATTCATGGAAAGTGGTTAAGCAGTGCTTTGGTTCAGCAGTCGTGACATGTAAATTTGGAACGGGTCAACTTCGAAGGGCGAAAGGGTGGTTGTGTGATGACAATGTTCTTACTATACAAAATATTGTTTCCTTTATGAAACGATCTTTTGGTATGAAAGAGCCGCTGGCACGACTGTTGAGCTATCCAAGTTTGAGACTAAAATTATATCAGTGGGATCTTGATCAATTTATCTTTGCCTACTCTGCTGTTCGGTCCTTCTCTGAAAAACGTACAAGGACTCGACTACGATATGTGTTGTCTAGGATTGCTAGTCAACGGTTTGAGGTTCAACTTCGTCAGCGATTGAGTGTTCGCGTGGTATACGATCGTACGTTGTGTAAAGCTGAAATTCGAAGGTTGTGTTGTAGATTGGTTGGTAACCTTGATATTTCCGTTGCTCGTAAAGACCTCCTTATTGGACGTATGAGGGTTATTTGGTGTAGAAACCGAAGCGTTGGTGATGTAGTACACAATTTCCGATTCGCCGCCCGAAGTGAACAAGCATCTTGCGACTGTGGAAGTTGTTCAGAATTTTTTCCTAGGATTAACGGACATGTGTCCTTTCGAGTCAGTGAAGTTAATTTCTTTCCGGAGACTATGTCAAACTCCCGTAATATTCTCTGTCCAGCTAGAACTCAATCTGCTACTCATCTTGGCCGACGTATCTGTGAAGCCTTTCAGTCTATTCGTTTTTTACCTCCCTTGCCTGAAGGAGCCCTCTCTAAGAGTGATCCGTCCCTCTGTTTCAATAATTTTTCGACAGTTCTTCCCTCTATCTCTTCTTCCTCTTCCTCTTCCTCCCCGTCCTCTTCTTCGTCTCTCCCCCCGGGTCTGTGCTCCTCCACCTTCCTTTCTTCTTCCTTGTTCCTTAGCTGTGATGTGGATGAAGTTGTGAGTCAATTGCCGAGACTATCTGGTCTGATTCGCTCGCCCTTGGACCATAATCCAGGGGACACCTATGTTTTCTGTCCAAATATTTATCGATCCAGGTTGGATAAATTGTTTTTACATAATCCTTTTTTTTTGTGTTGACTGAGGACGAATGCACGGTGGTAGCGAGATGCAGGGTCGATTACGCTCAACAAAAGTTTACCAAGATGGCAAAATGAAACCCGAAAGGGACATTGGGTCGGACATACTGTTTACCCAAGCACAAGGATATCCAAAGATGGCGACCTATATGCCCATCTTATTCTGAGGGTTGTGCTGCTGGAGGGCGACTGATTTCAAGAATTGTCAACCTATTACTATGGAGATTGCCAGATAAGTGGAATTTTAATCTAAGAACTACCGCTGATTTGGTCAAACAACTCTCTGCCTTCAACAACAAGCGGAAGAAAGATGAATTTTTTCTTGGTGCCTCATTCGATATCAAGAAAATGTTTTCGAATTTACCACATCATTCAATTCTCCAGGCACTGAGGTGGGTAATTGACTACTGGATGAATGAAGGATACGAGAAGGTGGTTGTGTGCAAAAGAGGTAAACAAGCCAAACTGACACATGGAAAGAACGAAAAAGGCTGGGCAAGCATCTCCTTTGAGCAGGTTGTAAGGTTTGTCACGTATGCGCTTGATCACATGTATGTTATGGTGGCAGGAAAAATCCCTTAGCATACTATGGGCATTCCAATGGGGCAATCTACGAGCCCCGCTCTAGCATGTTTACTGTGCGCTTATAATGAGTTTATTTTCTTATCTTCACTAGGAGGGGACAAATTTCTTGTGTCTGGTTGTCGGTTGGTGGATGATGTGTCCTTCTTTGTCCTGTGTAAGAAAGGTGATAAATTGTCCATGAAGAAGGGTGAGGAGCTGATTAAACGTTTTTCCAAATGTTATGACAAGAATCTGCTGTTGAAACAGACCAATGAAGGTCAAGGTTGGGACTTCCTTGGATGCACGGTGATAAATCTGGAAGATCGTAGGGGTATCGTGTGTATTCCTACTCACAAGAATCAGTGATATTGGAAAGAGGACAAGTTGGTGTTTCAAAGTATTCAAGACTTTAAGTCTTACACAAGCCGGCAAGTTGCGGCAACAAAAGATGACAGTCATTGGCTCCTTTCTTCATCGGGCATGAACGTTCGTAACTGCACCAGAAACAAAGCTTTTGTTTCTTTTTTCTTTGAAAATTGAATTATGGAGAGGGGGTACCCTGATTTTTATTTTGATTATGCACTGATGAATTTTTCGAGGAAATTCTCTGGTATCTCTGGCAAGATTGGGTTGATTTGTTAACTAGATGGGACAGGTTGTTTCCAGGTGGTCATAGTAGGGGAACAAGACCCGATAGTAGGGCCTGGGTACTTTGAGAAATCTGAACCTGTGAGTGTTGCTCCGCCACATGCATCCTCTGCGGTTTGTGGGTTCGGTCTTAGAACTTCGGTGAAGTGGACTCGATTTTCTGAGCTAGCGAAGTTGGACTTGTTATGTTTGCCGACCAGGAGGGTTTTGAACCGACATCCT